GCTGCTGCAGCGGCGGCGGCGGAGGTGACGCCGGTGGGAGAGGGCGGTGGCGAGGCGAGGCGAGGCCGGACTGATACCCGAATGCGTCGAAGGTTGAGGCGAAGTACGGCGAAGGAGTTGAGAGTCAAGATGAAATGGAGGAAAGGAGAAGCAAGTGGTTGAGGCACTTGAAACTCCAAGGCTGTCAATGTAGTATAAGAAATGATGCAGTCGGAAAACAACAACGTATAAAAAGTGTTCTCTCTATTTATTTATTTATTTATTTATTTATTTATTTATTTATTTATTTATTTATTTATTTATTTATTTATCTATTTATTTAATTATTTTCCTGTTCAGCTGATCATGCTTTTCAGGAAGTTAAACGGGTAAATGATATTACGATTTCGGATATTTATCCTAATTTTTGCAATTTTTCTTTTAGCTAACCCTGACCTTTGTCTGATGGCAATTATACGTATTGTTTAATTATTTTACATGTTTTTGACGGGATATAGTCCAGTCTATAATTCTAATATAGAGTACGTGGAAAGAAAGTTGAAAGGATTCAAGACAGGTTATCTGAGGAAGATGGATAAAGAGAGCCGGGAAATAGAAACGAAAACTTTTGGGGAAGATACATTGCTGTCGTAGGTTGCTTTAGAGGAAATAGTGAAGAAAAGATGTAAGTTCAAAACAAAATTTTAACAATGCAGGTAGGCAATTTTAGAAGTGACAAATGCAAAGAAAGAAAATAACGCCAGAGTAAAAACCGAAAGTGGAGAAACGTTTATAGAATAATATTTACGCCCCTGAGTGAGTCTCAATTTATGAATACTATGTTTTTATTAAATAGTGAAATTGTGAAATTGTAATTATATGTATATTGGTCGTTTTTAAATACTTCTGAATGTCAAATAAAAGAGCGAATGCAGCTTTAGGTTTTCTAGCAGGTAGTTTGGGTATTTTGTCAAAATTAAGGAATATGTCAGAAAATTTTTAATACACTCAATATTATTTTATACTCCAAAGAAAATAAATATAAAAATATGATTCAAACATTTTACCCTTTAACATAAATTATTTGTGAGCTATTTTATTTTCAATTATTACAAAATATTGCAGAACATTTCTTAACAATTTTATTTCATTTTTTAAGGGTGTACTCGGTTTCATAAGAACTGTAAAAGAGCCAAATACAATGTCTAGAACGAGTAATCTGTCAACAATAAAAACACGCATTACTTCCATTACTTATCGAGAAAATTTAATAAGTTTTATTTCGTATTACGGTTGGATGTAGAAGGTTATAATATCAAATCGTTAATTGACGATCAAAAAGAAAACTGTTCAGAAAAATATAAAAATTGTTTAGTGTGAGTCTAGAGATATTACGAACGTAGAACAGATAATTTTGAATTGCAATATTCAAAATGTTACGTTAAGTAGTAAAATGAAAGAAGAAATGCAATGAAACTTATTTATTTCAATCCAATGTATTCTGAACTATGAAAATATTAATTGATGTGTAACAAAACGTAGATTGAAGAAGAGTATCGGTAGTTCGATTCCCGCTAAGGACGGATTTTGCCATTTAGCGAATGTGACTTCATTGGCAAACATTCACACATCATTTAAGTTACTTGTCGATCGTTTGTACATTGACATGTGATACAATTAAACTTCTTGCTTCCTACTCGAATTCAGCCACGACTGATATGGATGACTGGGAACAACAGCTGCCACTGCAGCGCCTATGAATGACAGGTGCTAGGGATCGAGTCTAGACGTTAACGGATTTTCAATAGAAAGTATAAATCTTGTTCAAAGGTAACCTCTAGATGGAAATAAACCTAGCGCCCGTCTTCTCAGTTAGTTTTCCGTAGATTCCTGAACTCCATAGAAATTCCAGAGTGTTTCTCATAAGGGTCATTGCCTGTCTGATGATTTCTTCATCATTGTCCCCTTCTGCCTCTTTACACACAAATACACGTAGTCCTCGCACTGCACTAACACACATGTCGGCAGACCAGCTTGAAGTTTGAGGCGGTGACTCACTGGAGGAGACAAATGAAAGGAGAAAACCCCAGAAACTAAAGATAAAGTCGGCCCTGGATCTCATGTTTCAACGGAAAGAAACAAGGTAGTCCCCATTTTAAACGTTTCACTATTCACGAAACTAATTACTGAAATTGATAATGCACTCGTGAAATACTAAAATTTCGAGCCATCGAAACTAGCATATTGCCCAAAACCACCGGCAAAGGTCGATCAAGGTATCAACTGATGTCACTGCAGTGCCTTTGACTGGGACGTCCTAGAGATCGAGCGCGGACGGTAGAGGGATTTTCGGCATAATGTTATCAGCTGGATCGAATTGAGTCGCTGTCTGGAGGAGAATTCTAGCAGCTGGCTGCTCTGATCGGTAGTTTTTCTGAGCGTCTTCAGAAGAACTCCAGAACAACACCTTATCAAACGAGTCAAGGACCGCATGCGATCTTACCTTTCGTTTTCTTGACCTGTCCTCTTCTATCCTCCTCCCTTACTCTAACATGTACTACTCAACCGCACTTGCCGGGAGAACGGTCAGGAACTTTTTTTCCCGTCTGTGGCAATACGCGGCTGGTGGGTGATACCTGGTAGGGAAAATCCCCACAATCAGGTCGTGGCTGAAAATCCCCATCTGTAGGTCAGCGCTGGATCTCAACAGTCGGCGGGGAAATATCACCACCGCCTCTCGCGATAAAAAAGGCATGCCACTACTCTTACAGGGCTAATAAACTAACCAGTTTTTGTTCTCAGAATCACTAATCAATCCAAAGCACGTTGGATGAAATTGTGGAATTATGTCCGCTTATTGCTCTTGCCATCCCCACTGTGTGCACGATGTCTGAGGGGGGAGAAAGGCAGCTCCGTCCCCCTCCCTCCCCCACCCTTTCACGGCCCCACTTCCATCCCTCCCCCCTCGCCGCCGAACCCACCTCGACTGCCAAAGGCGCCGCCTAACAAGCTCGGAGTGAAGTCGCGAAATTGAACAAATGTTGGGCCTGGCGCTAGTTTCCTTTTGAAACCAGTCTTTCGACAAGTTCTGGTTCTCTGCAGGACCGCTTGTTTTCTTTCTGTTAAACACTTAAATGTTTGGAATGACTTTTTTATAAAATCTGTTTCGCAAACTTTGAACCACGTTTTCTTTCTCCAAATTTGTTTTCAAGTAAGAGTAAAATATTTAAAAACTGAAATTGAGCTGTTGAGTGTAAAATAATGATATTAAATACATAAAAAGAACTAAATCCCTGAATAAATGTTTGTAGGCAAGTAAGGATTAATACAACCTACCGCTTTCGGAACTTTCTTTCAATAAGCATACTTTGATATAAAATGTAAAAATATTACTATAACCCCGAACTTTAATATGTAGAAAATTATGAGACTGTTAATTAAAATTTTGTCGGAAAATATGTATAAACTTGTTCATGTCTTCATACCAAAAAAACGCATTACATTAAAAATGCCTGCAGTATCTCATTTTCAGTTAGCCCATACTTCATACTTTTTTTACAACACATCAGTCTGTTCATTTCGATGAGTTTCCATAATAATATCTAGAACAGTACGATTGTGATTTTTATTTTGTTAATACAATATAAAATTACACTCGGGGATTTTTATGTTGTTGAACAGTTCATTCTAACTGAGATTGAAATCCAGATAATAACTTAAAAATCATTATTAATAACAGAATTGTTCAAAAACTTGTTAAGAAGTTCGCATCAAGAGATAATATTCGTAAATTAAACAAAACAAAATGTGAGACAAAAATTGCTGGGAAATGTGTTCAGAACAGAAAACAAATATAGAGAACTTTTGATTTTCAATTGCTTCTTCATAGTATCTGAAACTCGAGTATCATATGCCACACCTCTGAGGTAGATATTTCCTTTGGGTACATTAATATTTGCAGAACACATGGAGTGGCTAATATTTCGTAAGTAAAGTTTGATCGCTAAGAATACTTAAACGAGGTAAGCTTTACAGCTTTTTTATTTTAATACTCATTAGAAAAAATATCAAAGAGTGTGGCTTCATTGAAAGAGTATAGAGCAGTTTAAGGTATTTTTATGAGTTCTGATAACTTAAGGTAAAATATAAGTGAAAATTCAAATGAACTGATTTCACTGTGAAATTTTACTCATCAAGGTGAATAAGAGCATACATTAACAAATTCTCCGCATTCAAGGTATTTTATGATAATTGAAGATACCCATTTTTGGATATAACTAAGATAAATAAATTTATCAGTCGTTTACAATAACATACACACGAATATTGTGTTTCTATTCAAAACTGATTCTCCACTTTTCTGCTACATCACATTTCGTATTATTACCTTTCTTGTTGTTTTTCCCGCAATATGGGAAACTCATTTCGTTCTGTTTCACGCGGCAGGAAAACAGAAGACAACGATATTCTTCATTAGTTGTTGTTTTTTTTTCACGAATGAAATGCAGTTGATCCTATTCTCTTTCGGCATTCACTGGCAGCAGTAAACATTTGGATCTCTCGCATATCTGTTTTGTTTCGGCGCGCAGCAAATTCAATCTACCGGGAATCTCCGCAGTAATTGGCGATCGCCTGGCGTTGTGTTGCAGCGCTGCCCCGCGAAGCTCCATACATCGAGGGCGTGGCGAGCGCGTACTCGCTGGGCGAGTGGGTCATCGCCAACTACACCTCCGACAAGTCTTTAGCGTACGTGGAGGGTGGTTTTTCTTGTTTTGGTTTAGTGCAATAAAAATTTTGCAACCAATAAATAATAGAAAATTGTCGCAAAAAGTTGTATTTATGTATTACAATGTCTAACTTTTGCAAAATCTTGTACGGTGGCTGTGAAGATTGTATTGAAGTTTTGAGATGAAATGCAGACCAACCGTTTGGTTTTTCTGTTAGAAGTATCTATTACGAGACCCAGTAGTAAAGCAACTTCTGTGTAAACAGTTCCAATTAGGTTGTTTTCTGGAGATAGATACCATTACGAAGACGAGGACCGTCAACCGCCAACGTTTTGTTCCTTGCTGTCAATTGCTCTTCGAGGAAATTTACGCGTGTCCTGTTCTTTGCCGGCAGCTCTGCCCCGCGAAGCTCCATACATCGAGGGCGTGGCGAGCGCGTACTCGCTGGGCGAGTGGGTGACCGCCAACTGCACCTCTGACAAGTCCAGCCCCCCGGCGCAACTCTCGTGGTACATCAACGGCGCGAAGGTGAGTGGTCAGCCATTTGAAGTTCGTGATTCGGAATTGGTTGTTTTATTGCAGGAACCGTCTGTAGCGTCGATGGTGACTTTAACACTAGATCGACGGGAGCAGACATTTTGATTGAAGTCGTAGGCTTCCGCGGCCGGAGTCATGTGAATGATCTTGGTGGTCCGGGTGATGCCGCGTCGAAGGTTGTTTTGCCAAGTGTAAAGCAACACAGCTTTCGATGCGGCGTCACCCGGGCAGCCAAGATCATTCAGGCATTTTGACTATTTTGAAGTTTTAGTTTTCTTTTGCGCTTGCATTTATTGATTTTTTATATAATAGTAATCTTAATAATAATAATAATAATAATAATAATAATAATATATGTATTGCTAGCAATGAACATTACATACAAAGAATTACATAAAGAGAGTTCTAGCTCAACCTTGAAAAAGCGAAGCTCATGTTCAGGGTGTTTCATATGAAAGGTCTTAAAAAGAAGTCATGTACATTAGTAATTACATAAAGGATCGTAATGTTATTTTTATGTAAAGATACAAAAATAATTACAAAAACAAGAAGAAAATTTCAAAATAACTATTGCTAGTGTCAGAGGAGATCAGTAAACTTATACATGACCCAAAAAATTATATCAGGTCTTTTTGATTTAGGTTTTTTATTATGTATTTAAATTCTTTGTAATTTGCAGTTGATAATTGAGGATATTTTTCAACAATATTGTTATATAGTTTTGGGCCAAAATAAGCAGTATGATTGTATTCAGCAGTTGTAGAAATCTTTGATTCTAAAAACTGAGGAGTGTCTGAGCGTCTTGTGTGATAATTATGAGAATGTAATGCAAATTTCTGTTTATTTTTGTGAACATA